GGGGCTGTGCGGGGTGACACTGCGCGGGAGGCGGCCGGGGGCTGCGAGCACAGGGCAGTGAGCTGGAGGATGCTGGGAGCTGCAGGCAGGAACAGAGCTCCCCGATTCCCATCCCAGGTGGCTCCGGGAGCAGAATGGAAGGTCCGTGTGTCACCGAGCCCCTCACGCAGCGATGCCTGCGGCTCACGGTGCGCGAGTCCCCGCCGGCCCTTCAGGTCTCAACTCCTGGAGGATGAAGAGGGCGGGAGGGGATTCTTTCCAGGTGTTGTGGGGGAGGGAGTGAAGGAAAAGTCGCACTGACATGTGGCCACACTTCATTTTTCAGGTCCCAGAGGTGAGGAAGAAGTTCACTCCTAACCCCTCCGCCATCTTTCAGGCCTCAGCGCCGCGGATTCTCAACGTGTGACTGCCGGCCCCGTGACACCATGGCTGCTGAGAGGACGACTAGGGAGCAGCCTCAGGACCCACTGCCACTGGGCCAGGCAAGAGCATGGCATGGGACCCTCCTGGAGGGCACAGCCCTCTCAAAGCTGTCGCCAGGGACCATGTGCTGGTGTGGAGAGATATGCCAACGGACCTGGCACACCCAGCTCAGCTCAGCCGTCCTCCCGAGAAGCCCACGGAAGGCTCACACGTGTGTGACCGCCATGTGGCCATCCGAGGAGCCTGAGGATCAAGTCAATCGGAAGGAACTGGTCCACGGAAGCTGAGGAATGTGGATGCATCGGCCCTTGAAGAACCAGTGATGTCCACTTCTGGTGGATCTCCTAGGATGCATGACCACGTGATTTATTTTACAACCTATGCGAATCCAAGGTAAGACCCTTGGCTTTTCCTACAAATGGCCCCTGTGATTGAAGCTGTAGGCATCTTGGGCCATCACCTGCATGACTCATGGTGATGCTGAGTGTCCAGGAGGAAGTTTCCAGAAGAAACAGAGCATCAGTCACGGGACCTCCACCTCACAGACCTCCTTATGGCCACGATGAGCCTCACGTTTTAACAAAACATTTCTTGGGATTGAATGAATCACATTTGCCTTGTGGTAAGTGTCTAGAGACTCAGTCCACATTTTATTACTAATTATTTTTCCCCCTAACATAAGGATGACGAGAAAGGCACTGCCATGCATGCTGGCTAAGAACTGGGAGCGTTTTGGGGAAGGTGGCATTTGCCTCCCCCAAATACCTTAAAATGGCATCTGCACCAACCCTTCCCCTCCTGTCTACCCTGCTCACGCATACGGTGATGGGGACTCTGGGACTCACCACCTTTTGAGGAGGTAGTTGACTTCCTCCGTCAATTCCAGCCAACATGGCCGCACAGGTCGCGCCTGGTCCCTTCTTTGCACAGCAGCCCTTCACACGTCTGAAGGGTCTTCGTCCCTTTTTAAAGCCCAGAGGCACAAGCTCGGGACCATCTTCAGGAAGGCAATTTGTGGATTTCCCTTTGCATCTTTCTTCCTCTCCAGCCCCCAAGTGGCTCTAGTCTGACGAGCATCTCAGCTGCAGGTGGTGGCCCTCGGGCCTCAGAGCCACCAGACGTGCAGGTGGGGCGGTGCCTGCGGCTCTGTCTGCCTGTGCAGCAGCCCTCCCAGGTGCTAGGCCTGGCAGGCACAGCCGTCCCCTTATGCCAGCAAAGAAAACGCTCTTGATGAGAGGCTTACTCTAAAGAAACCCACATTTTGTGCACTTACCCAAGGGATTCTGGTGTCTCAGACTTCACGGCTTGCATGTCTGATGTTTCTAAGAGAAAAGGGGCTGCCTGCCGGGTGTTCTGTGGGAAATGAGATTAAACTGTACAACCTCAGATTTTACTAAAATGCAAAAATGTAGTTTCAATTTAAATGATAAACACAAGTCTTCTCACACTTTTCCACCAGTCTCTTGGTGCTAAGCACTTCAGTCTGGCCCGGCTGCTGCCACACCCCAGATCCTGAGCAGTTCTTGCTGTGAGCTGCAGGGCACGTGTCAGGTACAGTCCACAGAACCCAGCCTGTCCCCTGCACTCACCCAGGCGCCTCGGGTAGTGGTACTCTCTGAAGCTCCTCTCAGGCCCCAATCCTAACTCTCCCCTCGCTAGCTGGGAGCAATTTGAGTTCCGTTCCTTCACCTGAAAAGCAAGGACGCTACCAGCTACACTGTGTGGCTTGCCAGGAGCATCCGTGTTTATGGGTGGGGTGCTCAGTACAGGAAGTAACCAAGGCATGGGTGTTAGGATTAGTCTTTGCTGCCTCACTTGCCCGGGAGCCAGCTCTTCCCACCTGCAGCTCCCAGCATTCTCCAGCTCGCTGCTCTGTGCTCACAGCCCCTCACCCCCTCCTGCCCAGTGTCACCCTGCACAGCACCTAGGATGCTTGTTTGTTCCTATAATGGGCCGCTCAGCTCTGCTGCACCTCAGCCAGGACCAGCTGGGCCCGCCCCTTCCTGGCAGTGCTGGTGGGCAGCAGCATTGGAGGCCTCAGCACACCCACCAGGCCCGACTGTACGGCAGACAGATACCCAAGAGCCTTTCTGTGGTGCACAGCACACAGCTTTTCACGCACACCAGCTCCACAGTCTTCCCGAAGGTGCATCATCATCTCAAGACAGGGTCTTGCTTTGCTCCAGGCTAGAGTGCAGTGGTGCAAACACTGCTCACTGCGGCCTCAACCTTCTGGTCTAACGATCCTCCCACCTCAGCCTCTTGAGTAGTTGGGACCACGGGGCCACCATGCCTGGCTTTTCTTTTTTTTTTCTGAGATGGAATCTTGCTCTGTTGCCCAGGCTGGAGTGCAGTGTTGTGATCTCGGCTCACTGCAACCTCCACTTCCTGAGTTGAAGTGAGTCTCCCACCTCAGCCTCCCGAGTAGCTGGGATTACAGGTGCCTGCCACCACACCCGGCTAAATTTTGTAGAGACAGGGTTGAGATACCTAGATCATGACCTCACCTCTCTGTGCTCCATGGGACAGGACTCAAGTTCTCAAGAGCAGCTTTTGAGAAAAGCTAGGCCCTACTGCCCACCCCAGGCAGATGGAAGAGCTTCCCCTCTGAACAGGGTCAAGATGAAGCCAAAAACCAGCTTGCTGGCCCCGTCCACACAGGGCTCCTTCAACCAGTCACATGGACCCCAAGCCATGTAAGGTGCCACCTGTGACAAGGATCTGTGCCTGCTCTGTCGCTCCTGCCCAAAGCTTGCCCGACAAAAAACATGTATGAAGGTAAGCCCAGGCACACCCGACTCCCAGCCTCCAGCCCGCTCATCTCTCCGTTCTGACTCAGTGAAATATGGTCCCCAGAAAGTTACACGCTTAGACTGGATCATGATGCTTCCTTGCAGAAATTCTCGCCTTTACAGAACCAAAGCTTTCAAAATCCTTCAGCTTGTATCTGCATTTTTCGTTATTTTTTAGCCATATGCTTTGCAGCAGATGGTCACGGCATGACTGTCACAGGAGTAACTTCTTTCAGACCTCAACACGGTCCAATTTTATCCTGCCAGATAAACCGGTATGTCTGTCTCTTTGTTAGACATTCGGAGCGGATTTCTCTTTGCCTTGGCTTTAAGGAAGCTCTGAGCTCATTTATGCAGTTTTCTTTTGCCCCAAGCTGTCAGAAATAATAATGCTCATTTCCAATTTTGTTTTTTTAGACTTTTACGTAACTGTAATCCTTTATCTTGTATGGTTGCAATTTTTTTTTTTTTTTTTTGGGCAAGAAATAGAGGAATTTAAACATACAAATAAAAACCTACACCATCACCTCATCCTAGTGCAAGGGGAACCCTGAGTACAGCACTTCAAACTCAGAAAGACCCACCGCAAATACCAAAAGATTTATTGTAGACAATTTTGTTACACAATTATACACATTATGATAAACATTTGAAACATTAACACATGTGGAGACTGCTAAATCATTTAATGTTTCTTTTGCAAAAAGATAATTTCTTTAGGCTTTCAGACCTGTAATAAATCTGTTCTCATCTGCATCCGATCTTCCTCCCTCCATCCTGTGGCCCTCAGTCCACTTAGCAGAAGGAATCTACCCACTTCCCTATGAACCTTGCTTATAGCCGTTCACTGTTAAGCCAGTGTGTGCCCCACGCCCTACTGAGAATAGATTCCTTCTGCACTTGCAGCCCTCAGATGCTGAGTGAGTTACTTATTTTTGAGATGGGGTCACCCTCTGTCCCCCAGGCTGGAGTGCAATGGTGCCATCTCGGCTCACTACAACCTCCACCTCCTGGGTTCAAGTGATTCTCCTGCCTCAGCCTCCCGAGTAGCTGGGATTACAGGTGCCCGCCACCACACCCGGCTAATTTTTTTATTTTTAGTAGAGATGATGGGGTTTCATCACGTTGGTCAGGCTGGTCTCAAACTCCGGCCTCGGCCTCCCGAAGTGCTGGGATGACAGCTGTGAGCCAGCATGCCCGGCCCAGATGCTGAATTTAAAAGGCAGATTTTATTCAGTGACTCCCTGCCCTATCTACCTGACTCAAACCTCTGCAGGACCCATGAACACAGGAATTCTGTTGCTTGGATAAGCTTCTCTGACTCTGACTCACAGGTTTCTGATTTTCCTTGAGTGGAATAGGAGTAGATTTCTGGCTGAGCATGCATCCTTTCTTCTCCCTTCCACACAGGGCGTTAGGAAGTCTGGGACAGGGCACCGCCAGTGGCCTGGGCGCTGGGCAGTGCCACCTGCTCCCTCCTTCCCCTGCCTGCTGCTCCCTCCCATCGAGGGGACCTTTGCTTCCGGACACAGCCTAATCTCGCTGCTTCTGGGTATGGGCAGTTACTTCCCCAACTTTAAGGCACTCACTGGTGTTTCTTTTAAATACTTTCTTCTTCTTGGGAAAACAGAGAAGAGGATACACGATCCATGGATAAGATAGGCGACCCCAGCAGGGGGGCTGCTCTCCACTGCCCACTCAGCACGAGGTCAGCAGCAGAAGCTCCTGCAGACTGTGCAGACGGCGTGGAGCCTGCGATCTGCTCCCCACACGTCACGCAGCTACACTTCTGCCAAGTGTCTGGGACTGGTGCACGCTGCCCTGTGTTCCTAGCATAGTCAGAGTTTTCTTGGTTATAATCAAACCTCTTTCTGGCCCATGCTGGGGTCTCTCTGTCCCTTGCCACTGCTTTGACCGTGGTTCTAGTAATGCTCCTGTGCTCAAAAGGGAATTCTCAGTCTGCAGTCTCTCGGGCCTCCATGGTTCTTTGCTCTAGGTATGGCCTCTTCCTGTAGCTGACTCGCTTGGGCTGAGTACAGTCCCATCACATCAAGGCCAGGCAGGGGAGAGAACCACTCGCTGGCTGAAGCTCAGTCTCTCTTCAGGGTAACTGCTGGAGCTGCTGCTAACTCCAGCCCACAAAATGGGTGACATCTCCAGCCTGCCACTCATTTTCTATCTCGTGGGGAGGCGGGCCCAAGGAGCCCCCTTGAGCACACCCAGGGAGGACCTGAGGCACACAGCCTGGCCCAGCTCTCATGGGGCCTTTACAGAGTCGGCAGAAACACTGGCCAACAAAGCAGGTATCCACTCACAGCTTCCCTCCACACTCAGAAAACAAACTCCTGTCCTAGGAGGACTTCGTCTGGAGGGAGCACGCTGCGGGAAGTCGGGAGGAGGTGGCAGCAATGGCTGGGTAGCCGTAACATCCCAAAGCGCGCCGGAAACCCCCTCCGCCCCGAGCAGCAGGTCCTCAGCATCGCTGCGCCTTCAAATCCTGCTTCTCCAGGGGCACCTCACTCCGTTCACTGGTCCTCATTCAATATTCCCATGTGTTTGTTCGTGAGGAAGTCCAGAAAAGGAATGTTGCAAATGGCCTGGTGAATATTACTCACTGTAATTTCTTTGGGAATCCTGGTCCAAAAAACAAAGGTGTTACCAGGTGAAATTCTCTCACACATACCTCATTTACTCACTTAACTCACCGCAGGGACCATCCCAGGCAGAGGCCCCGGGAGAGGGCTCCTGAGCCACAGGCAGAGCTTAGGGGCACCCTGAGGGGAGATGTGCCCTCCCCCGAGTCACGGCGCTAGTCAGGGCTCCCCTCTGCCTTCCTACTCACAGGCCTGAGAAGGGTATCAAAACCTGGTTGAACGATTAAGAAAAAAGATTGTGAGGACTGCGAAAAGAGAAAGTGGATGGCAGAACACAAACACTAGTGAGTGATCTCAGCACACCGAGAGCCGAGTCAAAGCACCGCAAAACCCTGGGACCCGATTTCCCATCTGGAGAGAGGGGAGACAGAGTCACACCGGGCCAGGCGTGATGTGAACTGTTCCATCAAAAGCACCCCAGTCACTCTACCCCTCCAGAACAAGGGACCACGGAGGTGGGCAGGGGCCACAGGACGCCCCTGGCTCACTTGGGGGTCAAGCAGGATGGCGGGCGGCAGGACCGGAACTCTTGGTTCCCCTTCCTTTTATGTTGTCTGATATATTCCTGTGAAGTTTCGTCTAATACTCCCCTGATTTAGGCCTCTTCATGATGTCCTCGGGCACTCTGCTACAGTTCTGTAAGTCTGTGACAGCCTTTAGCATAACGCAATAAATAATCGTTTCCTCTGAGAGCAAAGCAAATGTGGCCTATCTCCTATCCTTTCAGGGCCCAGGAAAAGACTGAAACTCAGTGTCTCAATCAAAGATAATGAGAGTCAGCAAAGGGCGGTGGTGAGCCAGGGCCTCAGTGCCAAGAGCCCTGAGCTGGAACCCAGATCTACACTGTATCTGCTGGGAAAGCTGGGCAAGATCACCTCTCAAAGCCTGGTTTCCTGGTTTTTAAAAAGGGAATCATAGTTCTGCAATGAAAAACTAGGTAATATACACAACGTCTGGCCCTCATGTCTGACATGTAATGGACACTGCAGTTACAAAGCTAATACGTATTCAACCCTGTAACAAAACAGAGTCCCAGATGTCTGTGAAGGAATGTGGGGGAGGACAGAACCCTCTGAGCAACCACGAGGTTCTCTGACAGTGACAGGGCAGACCCTTGAGACATCTGGCTCTGAGAGTGTCCTAGCTCTCACGCCATCTCCTACTGGATTGACGTCATATAAAACACCTTCATGGGCGATTCGACTGTGAGGAAAGAGGTGTAAGCCTCATACCACAGACTGCAGAGATAGCAATACCTGTTGTGAGAAGCTGTCTGGTATCCAGCTGCCAAGGCCTGTCTCAGGATATCATTCACCAGCTGTTCTGTAGCCTACAATAGAAAATGCTGTTATTCTTCAAAATGGCCATCTGCTTGCTGGCAAGAAGGGACGCATCTGACCCCGTCCCTTACCCCAAATGTTTGAAACAACTGCAACTAGGAATTAAAAAGTCCTTAATGAAAAATTAAAGGTCTCAATAATAGACCATAAATGATAAAGGCCCTGATTCTGAGAAATTATGAACTAGAGTGATTTTCATTATTCAGACACTGTTCTATTTCTTTATTTACTTATTTGAGATGGAGTCTCACTGTTCCCCAGGCTGGAGTGCAGTGGCATGACCTCAGCTCACTGCAACCTCCTCCTCCCAGGCTCAAGCGATTCTCCTGCCTCAGCCTCCCAAGTAGCTGGAGCACTAGGTGCCCGCCACCACACCTGGCTAATTTTTGTATTTTTAGTAGAGACGGGGTTTCACCATGTTGGCCAGGCTGGTCTCAAACTCCTGACCTCAAGTGATTTGCCTGCCTTGGCCTTCCAAAGTGCTGGGATTACAGGCGTGAGCCGCCGTGCCCAGCCCCAGACATTGTTTTTAAGGAAAGCGGCTGTTACTGAGGTATCCCTATTCCTGGAGAGCATCCACGGGGAAAGGAAATGCTGAGCTAGGATCAGGCTGGGGAAAGAGGCTGCAGCATTTCCGTCCCCTTGCCAGGCTCAGCACAGCTGGGGCTGCTGACTGTGGACACACGCAGGAAAAGCCCTCGGCTTTGTCCCTGCCGCCTCCTAAAGCAACGAGCACGCTGACCACCACCCCAGAACACGTCTGAGGAAGCACCTGGAACCACGTGAAAAAATATGTCCTCAGAGTGACATGACCATTTAGAGGAAACATAACTTAGTCCACTGAAAAATCAGAAGAAGAAAAACAAAAAGGAGAACTTAGGCCCAAAGAAGATGAGAAGTTTTAAAGCCTGTTATCTTTGTTCCTTTTCTGTCCTTGGCCCTTACTCCAGATCGCCTGGCATGCAGCCATGCTTCCTGCGGGGTCGGCAGCCCCTGCAGGCACCCACCTTCAGGATCATGTCCTCCACCACGGATGCATACACGTTCTTGTGGAGCGCCACGGGCTGCAGTGTGATCCCAATCTGGAAAAGCAGAAGAAAGCCATTTGTTCGTATCACTACTTTAAAAACAGCCTATCTCTGAAGACGCACACCTCTCAGACACCCAGAGATGCCTGGTTGGAAGGTGGACTTGATAAACACGCTGGGCAAGATTCACAGGAGAGTAACACAGAATATGACAACTAGAAGAATATGTTACCTCGTTTTTCTACATTTCTGACCAACTGTTTAAAATGCTACTGTGATCCTATTTAACTCTCAAATCTCCTTCATGGGAGAACATGGTTGGGATCTGCCTTGAGTTCTGCTAAGCGACCAACGCTCTGGAAGTTCTGGAATCAGACTCCACTTCCTGTTTGCACTTGGACACAGCATCCTGCCCATTTTTCATGGCATCCAGTGAAAGCGCACTCTTCGGCCTTGGGCCCTGAGCACGGACAGATGCCGACGAGCTATGAGGCCCCAGCAGGGCAATAAACACCTCTCCCCTGTGTGATAAGGTAGGGGCACTCAGGACCCAGACACACAGCGGGGGAGGACTGCTCGCTGAAGCGCAATTCAGAAATGCCTCGTGAAGGCAAGGTGCTTCTCCTGAGGCAGATGAGAAACAAGATGAAACAGAGCCAACTGTTCATATCCAGCCAGCTGTGCCTCAAGTCTGCGTTCAGCAAGCAACCTTTTCACGTGCCATCAGTGTTCCTGCCCCAGGGCGCTGATGCAGGAAGCGGGGAGCCCAGAGAGCAACCTGGGTCAACCAGGCAGAACCTCTGAACATCTGGGTGTGGGTCTGAGAGGCTGAACGTCCGGGTCTGGTTGCTGAGAGGCAGAATGTCTGAGTCTGGTCTGGGTCTGGGTCTGTGAGGCTGAACGTCCGAATGTCTAGCTCCGAGTCTGGTGTGCCGCATGAACTATTACCACCACAACCCCTACCTTTTGTGTGACATCCCCAATAAATTCCGACCCTGGGGTTGGGGGCAGGAAGAACTTGACTTCCTCTTGCTTCTCCTCCTGCTCCTTCTTGATGTTTGTCTTTACTGGCCCGGAGAGGCTGAGGATGTCCACCTCCTCCTCATTCTCGGGTTCCCTTTTCTGGAACTGCTGCAGGTCCTCCAGTTTGCGGCAGAGGCTGTCAGCAGAGGAGAATGACGACGGGCACTCTAAATGAAAGGCGGCAGTGTTACGATGGCTGTGGGGACAAAGCAAGAGGACTTCCGTCTCCATGAGACCCATGGCCTGAGGAAGGGGGATATGTATCAGGGGAGCTGACCTTTCTACTCTAAAATTCTGTGGATCTGTAATGATGAGAACTAGTAATTCATGAGGGAGAAAGACACAAAGACAGGCATCCTGTGTGTGCTGTATGTAAGGTAACTGTCATCTAAGACAAAACAGCATGGAATTCTCACTTCTGCCACCAAAAACCAGGCCATCCCCACTCTGAGTATTAAGGACTAACCTGATTTTTCTTCATCTCAAATCTGGAAAATTTAGAAATGCAGAGTGAAGAAAATAAAAAGGATCACCCCTATTCTCACTGCTCAGAGAGCAGGACTGCTAACATTTCCATGTAGACTATGCGTCCAGTCTCTAATGAGGCGATTTATACAAAGCCTGGTAAAGCGTGTGAGGACTATAAAGCCAGGCCCAGGGCACTGCCACTTCCGGACCAGTGTGTGAGGGCCACACCAGGTACAAGGCTAAGGGCACCCGGCCCCTGGCCTTTTGTTTTACCGATTGGGCTCTAACAAGTTCTAGCTGCTCCTCGACTCACCATGGATGGGGCTATGTGAAAACCCATCATAAGCTGAAAACAGCATTTTTCAACTTAGGATGTTTTCAACTTCCAACAGCCTTATCTGGATACAATCACGTAAGTCGAGGGGTGTACTGATGCCTACAGCTTTGTAAAGCCACAAAATCAAATCACAAGTCAAACCATTGTAGGTTAGGGGCTGTGTACAACCTGTGAGATTAACAGGAAGGCTCGTATATGCAAATCGTAAAACAGTTCATCTCACCAGCAACATTACCCACAACAGTTTCACAAGTGCCTCCAACACAGGTGCTATTCTCCGAGCTAGGCTTGGAAATGAAGTAACAGATGAGAGACAGGCCTCACCTTCACAGAAATAGCACAGACCTGTCTGGGGCTGGCCGGTGGGGGGTGTCCCTAAGGTCATAAAAGATGGGGAAGCTGCTTGGATGTGCAGGAAAGGAGATGGATTAGAAGTCTTCGAAGAAGAAATGATGCTGGGCCGGGCAGGGACGTTTGTGGCTGCGGCACAACACTTGAGATACCTGGGTACACACAGCTACACAGGGACTGTACGGTCCCGGGGAGGACCTGGCAGGGGTTGGCAAAGGCTCTTGTTCTCTGTGGCACCTCTTCCAAGTCCTCACCTCTCTCTACTCCAGCGAATGCCCCAGGCTGCCAGGCGCTCGGGGCAGTGCCACCGCAGGCTTACCGGGCTCGCTGTCGATCTGGGTCAGCACATCCTCAATGGAGTCCCCGTCACTCCTCAGGCTCTCAGGGTCCGGTGGGGTGTAGCCATGGCAGCGGCACCAGTGAGCAATGTGCTTGGTTTTGAGGGGAGTCAGGTGGTGAAATCTTGGATTCTTCTCCAGGATTTCTTGTAAGACTTTTCGCATTGTCATTGCTCTTTGCCACTTTAAAAAAATATATTTTTTGGAACCATAATTAAATCCTTCCACTTAATACAACTACATATCATGCAATCATAAATCACCATGCTACTTAACCTGTTAGAATTTTTTTTTTTTTTTTTTAAAGAAAAAAAAGCCGGCTTGGTGTGGTGGCTCACACCTGTAATCCCAGCACTTTGGGAGGTTGAGGTGGGCAGATCACGAGGCCAGGAGTTCAAGAGCAGCCTGGCCAACATGGTGAAACCCGTCTCTACTAAAGACACAAAAAATAGCTGGGCACGGTAGCGAACGCCTGTAATCCCAGCTACTCGGGAGGCTGAGGCAGGAGAACTGCTTGAACTGGGACCTGGGAGGCGGAGGTTGCAGTGAGCCGAGATCACGCCACTGCACTCCAGCCTGGGCTACAGAGCAAGATTCCGTCTCGGAAAAAAAAAAAATAAAAGTGAGTTTCCCAGCCTAACAGAAGAAATTCAAACAAAAAAAATCTCTCTCATATATATATATACACACACAGACACACACACACACACACACACACACACTCTTTGCCATCTAAGACACAACAGCATGGAATTCTCACTTCTGCCACCAAAAACCAGGCCATCCCCACTCCTAGTATTAAGGACTAACCCGATTTTTCAGGAAAAATCAAAAAGAAAAGCAAAAAGAAAAAAAATTCCTGGTTGTGTTACTCCCCACTTAAAGAACTTCTACCGGCTCCCGGATGCTTATAAAGTAAAACAGCAACTCCTAGACCCCAGCACCTTCCACTGCTCCCTGGGCAGGTGCTGCAGAGGCTGCTCCCGACCCCAGCACACCGGCAGAGCAGCTGCCAGGCTGTAAGGACTCAATACTTTAGTTCATTTAAACTTCTGAAACTCAGAAAAAAATTGAGAAAACGTGAGGGATGTTTCTACCAGTGCAGAAAAGAAGGCAGCCCTGAAAGCTGGCTGGATACAGGTCTCTGAAAAATGAGCTTCTTTTAACTGAGGAAAATATTCTGCCATTGAATATTTTAACAAAATGTGTTGCAATCTGCATCCCTGTTCCATAAGAAAAGGTTTCTGGGGGCAGCCAGAAGGGACACACGTTCTGCCTGCGTGTCAAACAGGCAGACGGGGGTTACCTCGGCGGCTCTCCTTTTTCCAATGTTCCAGCCATAGTACTGCTCCACAGACTTCGCAGAAAAGCAGCTGGCATCTTCACCTAGAATGCACACACCGAGCAAACCCTGAATAAAGCATTTATGATTCAAATCACATGTCATTTGCTGGAAGCAAGCCAGTAACTTCTTCAGACCTCTTTATTGCAGGTATGTTCCTTCTTGGGCAAGCTCAGATGCAGCCTAATACAGGAGGGCATCTCCTTAGAAAAAAAGGCGTCTTGTCGTATGTACCCAAAGCAACACCCCTTCTTGGGAGCTTGGCCTCTTTGGTAGAGAAGGTAATCACTGCCATAAAGTTGTTAAAGTCTGTGGAAGTAGTGGCTCCACTAGGAGCCCTGGGCCTGCCATTAACTCACAAGGTGGCTGTGGGAGATGGTGTCTTGCTCTGTCGCCCAGGCTGGAGTGCAGTGGCGTGATCTCAGCTCACTGCAACCTCCGCCTCCCCAGTTCAAGCAATTTTCCTGCCTTGGCCTCCCGAGTAGCTAGGACTATAGGCGCCTACCACCATACCTGGCTAATTTTTGTATTTTTAGTAAAGATGGGGTTTCACCATGTTGGCCAGGCTGATCTCCAACTCCTGACCTCAGGTGATCCGCCTGCCTCAGCCTCCCAAAGTGCTAGGACTACAGGTGTGAGCCACCGTGGCTAGCTCAGTTTTCTTTTTTTATTTTTTATTTGTTGTTTTTTTGGAAGGGGTTTTTTTTTTTTTTTTCCGGGTGGAGTGCAATGGCATGATCTCGGCTCACCGCAACCTCCGCCTCCTGGGTTCAGGCAATTCTCCTGCCTCAGCCTCCTGAGTAGCTGGGATTACAGGCATGCACCACCATGCCCAGCTAATTTTTGTATTTTTAGTAGAGACGGGGTTTCACTATGTTGACCAGGATGGTCTCGATCTCTTGACCTCATGATCCACCCGCCTCAGCCTCCCAAAGTGCTGGGATTACAAGCGTGAGCCACCGTGCCCGGCCTAGCTCAGTTTTCTTATCTATAAATTGAGAAAGTTGGGAAGACAGTTTCTGAGCTACCTTCCAGCTCTTATATTCTGTATTTTTAATGAGAGAGAAAAGTGTGTGTGTGTCTGTGTGTATATGTATGTGTATATATATATATATATATATATGAGAGATTTTTTTTGTTTGAATTTCTTCTGTTAAGCTGGGAAACTCACTAAACATCTACTCTAAGCTATATCAAAATGATCCCCCAAACTTTACCTTATGAGAAAAGAGATTACTGCTTTGCCATTACAGCTGGAAAAAGTAAGTAGGTGGTCTGTACCTGGCATGCGTGTTCAGAGCCCTACAAATGTAGGTGGCATGGAGGTTGCCAGTGGCTTCCCTCTGAGGATGCATCGTGGTCTTACCCACGAGCACACTCCTGTGTCTGCAGGCTGCTGCCCATCAGCAAGGGCTATGAATTCTGTCAGAACAACTGAGGCTAAGCAGCAAATCACTGAATCTAGCTAAGGATGGGTAGTGATAAAGCACGCCACTCTTGGAGGTCTTATAACCTGTGCATTTCTACAGTGTGCCATACTGAGCTTCAGAGGAAAGATGAACGGCCTTAGGATCAAGCAGAGCCAGTCTGGTTCCTGTCTCACCAGCCACGACTATGTGACCTCGAGCAACTTGTTCAACCCTGCTAACCCTCAGTTTCCTCATCTGTAAATGGAGATGACACCAGCTATCACACAGGAGGCTGGGATTACACGAGACAGTGAACGTCCTAAGCCTACACAGGACCTGGTGCACTGCAGGAAATGCTAAATGCATTCCTCACTCAAACACCAAACACTAATGCAGAGTTTTAACTGCATACGTTAACAATTTATGATTGACATACGGAAAATGTAAAACATTCCTTCTATAGATCAACACAGTAAAAACAATAAAAAACTGGATGTTGATTCTAAAACCCCTGCATATGAGCTATATCTCTAGCTGAAACCTTACAAGGTAACTGCGTATCAATATTAATTTACAATCCCAAGTGATTTCAGTTGACTCAATACCTTAAGT